AGATGAGACTGCAGATGTAGCAGGTGTAGGTCTAGGTTCATCTGGGGCATCCCTAAAACCCTGGACCTGTGTGAGATCACAAATATGTGACTGTGTGTGTGTGTGTGTGTATCAGGGTTATTATATTTAACTAAAATTAACACCTTTAAAATGTTGAGTACTAAAAATAAATGTTAACCGAAATAAAATAAAAGATTAAACAACTTAAACTTGTTTTATTTCAGTTAGTTGCCAAAAACTATTTCTTATATTTGTTTAATTTAACTTTTAATTTAATTAAAGTACTAACTAAAATTAAACTAAAACTAATAAATAAAATAGAAATTAATAAAAAGGCATGTTCAAATATTAGACATATTTAAAATAGAAATATAAAAAACACAACAGAATTACTTAAACTTTAAAATGAAAGTGAAAACAGAATATAAAATGAAAATTCAAAATAAAATTAAAACAAACACTGTAATAGTATATCAATAATACTAAAATAACAGTAGTATGTGTGTGATATATGTATGTATATATATATATATATGTATATATATATATATACACACATGTGTGTACAGACACAGTATTATATGTATAGACACACTCTTGTGATATACCTTTATACATTTTCCTTACATTACATATAGATATATTTTCCTTATATCTTCCCCACTGTTAAACTTACTGTGATTTGATATTGAATTGTGGCTTCCATTTGACTTGGGGACTTGTACAGGGAGGCGAGCCTAAACACAGAGTGAACAGGGGAGAAAAGCATAAAATGACTTGTTTTTTTCATTGCAGAGTGCACATTCTCTCCCTCTCTGTCCTTGTCTGCTCGGTTTAAAAAGCAAGAGGGTCTGCGGCAATTCAAATGCAGGGAGGCTGAACTGTACAGCCAGCGGGAAGACCTTCAACTTTATGGCAAGAGACGAGAAAGCATGATGGAGATGCTCTCTGTGCATCTCTGCTGCCTGCTGCTACAGAGTAATAATAGACTGGCAGGTATGCAGGATGCATTATGAATAAGGTCTGGCTACAAAAGGCAAAGCAAGCTACTTGTTCAAAGTGATTCATTCCATCACCCACGGAGGTGAAGGGTAAAGAGTTTATGCAACATACTCTCGCTCGCTCTCTCTCTCTCCAGAAGACACATTTGGCTGAGAACCCCACAGATGTTGGCTTCGATTTTCTAAAGCCACATTTTGCTGTGTCAGGTTGAGTGGAATTAAAAGACTAAATCCAGCAGAAAAAAAACACAAACACCTTCCCACACAATTAGCAAATTAAAAGTGTTTATGTTTACCTTCGCAGTCCCTCCCAGTGCAGGATGAGCCTCTGCGTCGCAGCATGACCCCAACTCTCACCTGAAGTGTGAATTTTAATTGTTATTATGTTGGTAAATATGTAAAAAGAAAACACTGCATGAATGCATTTGTATCTGTTAAGTCCTACCTAAAGCAGGAACCAGCTTAGATTGGCCATTTGAAACTCTTGTCGTCATCTGATTGGTCAAAACAACCTAAGAGCACATGGTAACCAAATGTAATTATTTTTTATAAAAATGTATGTATATACAGTATATGTGTGTGTATATATATATATATATATATATATATATATATTTATTTATTTATTTATGAACATATATATACAGATAGATAGATTATAGACCAGCATTATTTTAGTATTGATATGCTATTAGTAAATATTTTAAATTAGATTTTAATTACATATTTTCTGTTTTTACTTCAATTTTAAAGTTTTTGCATTTTTGTTGTGTGTTGTAGATATTTTTACTAGTTGTTTTTATGCCTATATAATTTTTATACATTTTTATTTATTAGTTTTAATTGAATTTTAGTTAGTTAGTACTTAAATTAAATAAATTACAAGGTAAATTAAATGAAAATGAGATATATTGCCCTGGCAACTAGCTGGAATAAAACATGTTTAAGTTTTAAACAAATATTATTTTATTTTAATTTAATTATTATTAATTTACCCAAATGTGAGTATTCTGCAAAAATAATTAAATATATCCTAATCAAATATCCTGATCAAAACACACACACACGCATATGTATATATATATATATATATATACACACACACACACACAAACATATATTAAATTACTTTTTATTAAATATTAGATATTTTTTTAACCAAATATAAATATTCTGCAAAAAAATAATAATTAAATTGATTTGTCTGCTATTCATTATTCTTTGTTTCAGTAGTAAGATTTACTGAGTACCGCTACACTATGTTGTGTTGCTAGTTGGATGAGCTGCTGGGCAAGGCCATTTAGGAGACGAGTCCTCTGAGAAAGATCCTCAAAGTCATGCCGGAATGGGAAGGCGATGCTGTCAATCACTACTAACCTCACCTGTGATTGGATGATACAACAACATGTCATTTATAAGCATGTAATTAGCAGTATTGTAATATCACATTGCTGAAAGAGATGTCCTTAAGCAGCGGTCCTGATTATTCATTTTCACCTCGGGATGCTCAGAAAGGAAGTCAGGTAGGAGGTAAACCTCAGCTAACAGCTCTACATAGTCATGGCAACGGACCAAGAAGATGTTTGAGAGGATCTTCTCGACAGTAAGTTCCTCTAAAGCCTGTCTCTGTTCTAAGAGGAAAAGCAAAGACAGATTATTTGACAATTATACATTTTGTGTCTCATAAATGAATTCAAATGGGTAAAGTTGTATTAGGCCTGGAGAGCTCATAAAGCATTTTTTTTCTGAATATACGTACATTTAGGCATCCCAACTTATCTTAAATACTCAAATCAGACCTGTATCCTCTGCCAGGAGGGTGCAGTGCTGCACGGCTGCCTCTGCCATATCAGCAACCCGCTGCACTAAGAAACTCCCTTCTGTGTCTATATACAGTGCCTTTCCTCCCAGACCTCCAAAACACACAGGAATCTGCACATCCACAGCCAGCTGCATGCTTTAAAATGAAAAAAATCTCTTTTATGAAAATTATGAAGACATTTTTAGGGCACATAGCACTTTTGACATATATGTGCCACATATTACCAAGAAGTTGAATTAAGGATGCACTATACATTTTATAATCCATTTCCTCCCATACCACAGCTGAGTCTTTCCGACACCAGGGGACCCGCAGATCTCGGTGGTCTTTCCCACAGGCACGCCCCCTCCGAGGGCATCATCCAGGGCCGAGCAGAATGTCACAATGCTCCCCAGAGCCTGCTCCTGGTGCAGGAGATCCAGAGCTGTTAGGCTCTCTGTTGCTGCCCTCTGCTGGTGAGGCTGGCCATCATCCCTCAACATCTGCAACACCTCCACTGCCTCCTCCTGTGAGATACCTGCCTCTGAACGAAACAAGCACGGATATAACAAAAATGTGATTAAATGTACTTTTCTAGTAATCTGTGATTGTTGTAAGGCGGTAAGAAAGGTATTTTCGAATCCAAACAAGACTTGTTGATGGGTAAATAAATACCTTTACAGAGCTGAAGAGGACGCATGTCAATCAAGTCTGACGCCACTTGGAAACCCGCGTTGATGAGCTTCACCTTCACTGAGGGCGCCAGAGGGAGGCTGGGCACAGTCCTGTGCATTTTACTAGCGCTGACACTGACAAAAACCAGGCTGAAATGCCGTTTTAGACACGGTTGTCGGTTCTATGCCAGTTTAGGACAGATGACAACAAATTCTAGCCATTCGAAAATATCTTTCTTTGGGTGGACACACTCAAAATCACTCTTTGAAGAATTTACTATCGAAAGAATAGTTTTCTGAAATCAAAATATAAACATATGAGGACTTATGTTTCTTCATATATTTTTTTCTTCCCTTTGATACTCCCTCCAAAACAAGAAACGACGCGGAATGGGAAAATACTCTTCAAAATAAAAGTCCCAAGACGACGCCATTGACACATTTTAGTATACGATTATATTCAGTGTATTTATTGCATGTAAAATGCAGTGCTGGGGAGTAACTAGTTACATGTAACGGATTTTAAAAATAAATGTAACTTACAGTTACTGAGAAAATGTAATTAAATTACAGTTACTTATGAAAATGTTAATGATTGCAAACGGGGATACATCTGAATATTTTTACACACATACAGATATGATTGATTTATTTCCCAAATTGCATTCAAATTGCATTGAGACACCAATGTTTCAGGACTAACCCTAACCCTAACCCTGCCTGATTTAAATGTTTCAAAATGATTATCAGTTTAGAAACATTTTGAAAAAACAAATAGAAATTTAAATTTAGAAAAGTATCAAAAAGTAATCAATTGTAATCAGTTACACTACTTTAATAAAGTAATTGATATAGTTACACTACTTATTACATTCTAAATAGGATAACTTGTAATCTGTAACCTATTACATTTCCAAAGTAACCTTCTCAACACTGGTAAAATGATATAGTGATATATATATTTTAAGAGCCGTGGTTGGGATAGAGGAAGAGAAAGCATGCTACAAAATTATTGAATGGCTCTATTTATTATTGTTATTATTATTATTTAATTTTATTACTATTATATACTTAGGGACAATACAAATTTAGCATCATAATTTTATTACATATAATATTTACTATTGTCATAATCGTTATTGTATTATTTAACTTATTTATATACTTTATATACTACATATGCTTTAATTTTTGTTTGCATTTGTTGTAATGTAACTCACTTTGTAAAATGCCGTTGATTATATACATTTCTCTTGGTATTGTTTAAGTTATGCATATAATCATAATTTAAAAAAAAAACAATGTTCACAAGTACATAGCAAATAAATTATATCGCTACTAATTCAGAAATTAGCTAAAGAAAACCATAAAATCTTAGCCATTAAATCTTGCTAGCACGATCATTTCAGTCCGGTTCTTACTTAATAATGTTCCACTACTGAGCCTGCTATTTTATCTCGAAAACATGATGTGATGTGAACCAACCATTGCGATTATTACAACGCCAAACTGCACTGTCCCTTATCCCGCCCTGTACATCTGACGTGTGTTTACAAAACAAAAGCAGTCCATTGCAAGAAAAAATGTGCATCGACATTTTGTACGTAAGGTAAACATGTTATATAAACGCCCTATAGCAGCTTAAATTGCGTTTGGTTTTCGTAATTATATTGTTAAGTCGGTATTTTATTGTAAGCGGTTTCAGTCAGTCTGAAGTGGCGCAGCTCAGCGCTTTTTAGAAGCAGTTTTTTGAATGTGCTTGGATACGTGCCTATTTGACACAACTGAGCTCAGTTGAACATATCATTCTAAAGTCGTTTTGTTTTAATAACTGTAGAAGCTTATTATAGACCATCATGAACTGTCGATCAGAAGTCCTGGAGGTGTCAGTGGAGGGCAGGCAAGTGGAGGAGGCCATGCTGGCCGTCCTGCACACGATCCTCCTGCACCGCAGCACAGGTAAATTTCACTATAAGAAAGAGGGCACGTACTCCATCGGCACGGTGGGAACTCAAGACGTGGACTGCGACTTCATCGACTTCACATTCGTGCGAGTGTCTTCTGATGAGCTGGACAGGGTTATCAGGAAAGCGGTAGCCGAGTTTAAGGTACTTCTGATCACATTATTTCATATACGAGATATATTTGAATAGATTATTAGGCTGTATTTCACTATAAAGGTGCTCTATTTGGATATTGTACCATGGTAGTACCATAATACTCTTTAAAGTAACTTTAAGTACCATGGTATTACCCTACTTTATCATTTAACTTTAAACACTTTTTGTTAGGAGGTACTTTTTATACTTTATTAGGTCTTTCCATTCAATTCATTTCCTCAGTACTTCTTCAATTTTTGTTATTCTCCTTTCTTTTCATTTTTTTTCTTTTGTGTTAATAACACCCAGCACCAAAAGATAAAAGCACACAAATAAAGACATTAAAATAAACAATAAGTAGATAGATAAGTATTTTACATCTCCAAAGGAAAAAATTAACTTCTATTTACATATTATATTTCTACCATGCACTTAAGCACACCTGTAAGACATAATACATAAAAATAATCTGATATATATATAAAGCCTTTTATGTAAAAATGTATAGATCTGAATTCACTGTTTATGCGTGTGTGTATATATATATATATATATATATAGAGAGAGAGAGAGAAATATATAAATATTATATGGTCAAAAGTATTGACCATATAATGCACAGGTTTGACTACTTTAGTAATTTCCATGAGAACCTCAACCTAATTTCCATGAGACCTCTGGTGTGACTTTAAATGCAGACCTTGAGCCAAAAATTCATCACCAAACACCAATGACTTAATTTAAATATTTTTAGTGCGAACTATGTATAACAGAAGATTACTGGAAAAACAAATATGTACATACATAGTATATATATGGACAAAAGTAACATTAAGTTATTTAAAAAATGTATTTACACTATACCTGACTAAAAGCTAAAAAAAAAAACAATAAAACGCATAATAATAGACTGAATAATAATAAAATTATTCACCTAATAAATTAATATCCCAAACCTTTCAATAATGTAGCAACGTTCTTACACGTTTTGTAACCACAACCTTATTTCTACCCAGGATGCTCTTGGTAATTCTGGGAGTGATGGCATGGGTCAGATCTCTTTGGAGTTCTACCAGAAGAAGAAGTCACGCTGGCCCTTTTCAGACGAATGCATCCCGTGGGAGGTCTGGAGCATCAAGGTGAACGTGGTGAACCTGGCCAACGAACAGGAGCGTCAGATCTGCAGGGAGAAGGTTGGCGAGAAGCTCGGCGAGAAAGTCATCAACATCGTGGAGGTCATCAACCGTCACGATTACCTTCCCAAGATGCCCACGCAGTCGGAAGTGGACAATGTGTTCGATACGAGTTTGAAAGACGTCCAGCCGTATCTGTACAAGATCACGTACCAGATCACTGATTCTCTGGGCACGTCAGTGAGCACTACCATGAGGAGGCTGATCAAAGACACGCTGGCATTGTAAAGGACAGTGAAACAGCTGAAGCCAGATGCTTCTTGGATGTTTATGATGATCATGTCAAAATAGAAAATCACATTACATTGTTCCTGAATGGGATTTACACTTTCCCTGTATAATAATGGTATACACTATCGTTATATCAGCTAATTCAAGCAAGAATATTATTGTAACTTGTTTTTTGTTTTTTTTAATAAAATCTAATTATGTTACCTGAATTATATTGTTCGGAATTTGTTTGTCTGAATTTTTGCTAGCCTGATAAACATTAATTTAAGGACCATGTGTGTTAGCTTCCTTGGAAAGTGTTCGAACAAATGCAAAATATTTTATAAATATCAGCATTAGGCCACAAGTAGGTGTTCTTTTCAAGCATTAATTCAAAAGCTAATTAAGAACATTAATGTCTATTCAATTAAAAACAACAAAAATATGTAATACATAATTGTGAGGACTCCCATTTTTCTTCTCGAAGTTAAGTATTCTTATTTTAAACGTTTGTGTTTTTATTTTAGGAACAAAATGTATAATATATACAAGTGTCTGTAAATTTTGTAACTTGCATGGTCTCCAAATCAGAACACAAACACAGTATTACACAGTATTGATATTTATTTTTAGAAAGCAAGCACAGAAAACAGTAGAAAATGCTTTAACACAAAAACTGATACAGTTTTTAAAGCCACATTAGAACAATTCAAGTGCTTACGAATATTAGTTATTGCAGTGATACCACAAGAATACCAAAAAAGATATACTTTTCATAAAACAGAGAAAATGTTGTATGTGTTGTACAAACAAAGACCATAAAAATGTGTTTTGAGGATTAAATGTTCTGTTCTGTCATCGCTATTCATTCAAAGTCGTACAATCGTTCGATGAACCATAATAAGAAGTTTATCAATTCCTGAAATCATTTTATCATCAGGACGCATGTTGATCCGATTCTTAACCCAAAACAAGAAGCATATTATGTCATGTAATACTGGGGTCAAAAGTAAATGCAAACTAAATCAGGTACTTCTATCCTCCTGAGTAATAGGCAACTTATTCATTAATGAATGCCTTTGGGGGGAAATACGTTAAAAAGGAATGTGTTACCATTTCATCCATCAAAATATAGACTAAATGACAGTAGCTGATGGAAAATGCAAAGAGCAAGCAACATATTTAGATTTTGTGCTCAACAAAGGCCACAAGCTTGTGAAGCCAAACATCCCCTAATGTAAGGGAAGAAGACTTTTTACTTAATTGATTTAATATTTCAAACACTTGCTAAATATGAGGAAGAAATATCAAGGAATAAGATTACTGTTTTTGTGCTTTAATGTTTTAGAATGAAGATCTTCTCTGGGTCATACTGTCACAGAAAAGGTCCACTGAACATTGGGAATGTCCAACCATTCAACGTCATTGCATCAAGACTTCATTAATCACTGAGTACTGAGTTCTGGTAAGTTGAGCTTACACTATGGTAAAGCTCACAATGTACTGATACAGTACTGATACAGTGTGAAAATCTACTCAAACGTAATCTCTACACATTTATGAGAAGTAATTCCCACATATACTGCATGTCCTGTACAACAAATGTATTAGGAGATCCACATTGCAGGCACACACTAAACTGCTTAAAGAACATCACCCCAAACCTGCAATTTTGTACATATAAAGCCTTCTATTTGTTCAATACAATCACTGAATATTATCCACAACCTCTAAACAAAAATAGCATGTAAGTCTACATAACTGGCAAAAGCACATCAACAGAATACTCTTAAAATGAAAAATACAACTTAACTAGCAATGTTGAAATTAAGTTATAAAGGTTTTCCTCTATAAATGATCACAAAGTTTATTGTATAGTTTGATATCTATTATTGTCTGCTTAAGGTATGGTTTTATATGGTTCAATCACATCTTAAATCAAGATGTAAATCTTCATTCTCTTAAATGATCAAAGCAACAATTTAAGATTAATAGCTCTAACAACATAAGCAGGGCTGAATTGGGAATTTAACAAAAAAAAATCAAATATTTAAACATCTTTTTCTTATTTTTCCTTAACTTAAATGGGGCATAAATAAACTTAAAGCTATCGTTTTAGGCCAGTAAAGAGGGAATTAAAGTCTATTAATGCCCTTTCTACACCAGCCTGTGCTTTTAATAGAGAGCAATGTTTTTTTGGAATTGCTTCAAAGTGCTAAATAACAGCATAAAGGCCACTAAAACAACAGAGGTGTACGCAAGTCTTCCACGTAACTATCCAAAAAAGTAATCACTCATTTTTTGTTTGCAGTAAATCAAAGAAAGTACTAATGTGAAAGAAATCAGTTTCATTTATAACAGTCTTTCCTGATCACTGAAAAGTGAACTTAGAAATAATACAGGGAAATGCTTTCGAAAACAAATGTATGTTTTAAGCAACTCTTGGCATGCAATCCAAGATGCATTCAGGAAACTCTGACAGTCTGAATACTGTTTATAGAAATAAGGTGTAATAAGTATGATCAAATGCTATTAATAAATCCCTGGGTTTCATCTGCAAGTGTTTCCCAAAGTAAATCATGTGACAGTTTAAAGGAGACAAGGTCCAAGTTAGTCAACTTTAATGGTTAGGGCTACAAATGTGCAAATCTGCGCTGTTACATATGGCTCTGCTCGTGACTCCACAGACTGAAAGCGGTCTTAAATGTCCGGTGACAGAATTTGCACATGTACTGCCGTTTAAAGGTGAGCGCAGAGAGAGTTGGGGCATGGTAAAATAGCGTGTCGGATTCCTGAGGGGTGATTGTTTTTTCTGCGCTGTCGGACTTGGCGTGAGATTGTTCCCTAGGCTCATCGTCGCCTGTTTTGTCCTGCTCTGGCTTCTTGAGTTTGGTTGACGGTGACGTGGAGCCTCTGGGTTCCTCTTCTGGGGCATCCACCCTAGAATGGGTCGCTTTAAGTGGAGAAGTTGGAGGCTCTGGGATGGAAATTGTGAGAGGTGGAGAAGGAGACGGAGAAGACTGAAGCCTGTCGATGTCTCTCATCCCTGGCTCTTCAGGTGTGGACATGTGGGACTGGTAGTGGCTCCAGAGGCGGAAGTTGGTCCTGAATGCTTTGTGACATATGTGGCAGATGAAGGGTTTGATGTGGCAAAGCAGTTCCTGATGTCGTTCCAGGTCTTTGTGGGCACTGAAAAGCTTCCCACACTTCTCACAAGGCCAAACACCCGGTTCCTCGGATCCAACAGAAGCGGTGCTCATGCCATCCTTGGCTGATACTGCTTCCTCTTGAGGTTCCTCTTTGACCTGCAGCTCCCCTTGACCGTGAGCACTCAAGTCCTCTGGGACATAAGACCATGAGTCTTCAGAATCATACATGGGTGGAACCGATGAGTCACTGTACACTCCTTCCTCTCTGGAGTCATGTCTCGACTCCTGAGAAGAAGGAGGAACTCCGAGAACGTTGGATGATTCGTCATGATTGCTCTCCTGGAGACCGAGAGTCAACTGCTCCTTCACACTCATTATATTGTGATTGTGAACTTCAACCTGATGACGCCATATGCTGAAAGAGGACTTAAACGTGCGCATACACTCAAGACAGGTCAGCTTCTTGTACTTGCAGTGAGCTTCGTGGTCTTTCTTGACGACTGTGTTGGAGAATCGAAGTCCGCAGTATGGGCAGACGGTAGCATACCTGCAAGCTCTCTCATGGTCTTCTAATTCAGTCAAAGAGGGCAGTTTCTCATTGCAGAGCCGGCAAGAAAAGACATCCTTATCTTGGTTTTCTTCAAGATGTGTCAACTGCTGCTGCTGCTGCTTGTATTGAAGGTCTCTCTCGGCATCCATGTCAAGGTTAGCCGGCTCAGCGGAGTGTCCTTTCATATGTAGTTTTAAGTGTGATTGAAAGAAAAACATTTTGCCACAATAGGGGCATCCGTAGGACCTCGATCGCCTGTTTTTCCTGCCGAAGGGTTGCGACTGCAGGCCTTGCTTGGATCTCCGGAGCTTCATAATCAAGGCCTTCTTTATCTCCCGCTCTCGTACTATATCAATTAGCTTCCTCTGAAACTTCTCATCCAGGACAGAATAGGAACTAGAAGAGGGTGCAGGATTTTGAACCACGCCGTGTTGGGTTTGGCAGTGAGTCCAGACTTTGAAGTTTGTGTGAAAGCGTTTGTGGCAGATGTCGCACGCATACGGCTTCTCTGGGTTGTGGTACATGTTTACATGGCGATACAGACCTGCATTGGACCTGAAAACCTTCAGGCAGTTCCAGCACTTAAACATTTTGTTTGGCCGAAGTTCTCCAGGTTCCTCATTACTTTTGTCCATGTTGGAATTGTAAGGTACCTCATCAAATGTGCTTTCCTGATGCATCAGATGATGCTCATTAACAGGCCTAGATCTCTTAAAGGGCATATAACTACCATCTATCTTAGTCTTCCTCTTCATCGAGGGAGTGAAGTACCCTCTTGGACCTTCATCATAGTTTGCCTGAAAGTCTTTGAAATTTACCGGCAGGTTGTCTCCAACAGTAATGCGAACTATTTCAGTGGGGTCAGCAAGAGGACTGCTGGGCTCCGCTTTAATTCGGAGTTGAGTCGTTTGAGTGCCCTCCGTCTGATATGCATTTCGCTGTCTCGACCTGAGAAGAAGTGGCATATCTTTTGACACCCGATCCTCATTTTCAGGGTATGGCGACCTTGCTGTTGTGGTAATTAACTTGACCACGGATTGTACTCGACTTTGTGAGTCCTTTAGCTCCAGAGCTGGAGAAAAAACGGGAACTGGACTATCCATCGACAATGATCTGCGCAGCAGACTTTTAATAAGTGGCCCACTTCGGTCTACAGTTTGGTTGCGTGGACCTTGATGTTCACCCACTGGTCTGGAATCATGCGATGCTTCCATTCTTCCATCATTGGCGCCGTCAGTCTGATCTGATTGTAGGCTTGCATGCTGTACAGACTCACTGAATGACACTGAGGATGTTAGTTGCGGCCTCATAGATTGCGATCGGTATTCAGTTCGACGTCTCAGTATGGATGTTGGTGAGGAGATGATAGATCTGCAAATGCCATCGTCTGTGTTTTTATATGAACTTCTGCTGTTGGAGGTACTGTTGGACTCTTTTTCATTTGGTCTGATGTGTCCTGAGGATTGGCTCTGATTACTGAAATCGTGTGTGAGCGAGAGTGGCTCTGTGGCCTGTTTAAACGGTTTTCCCTGAAGAGTCGAACTTTTCCTCTGAAACACATCCATGCCAGGCTGCTCACCTTGACCTTGATGTACAATAACACTTCTCTTTTGAGAAGCGCCATCCTCCTCCTCAGAGAACGACATCCGTTTCCTTGACACAGAGTATGACGCCTGAGGTCTTACAGACATGATGTTGGTTAGAAAGGGAATGCCGAGGGTATATCCCAGCTCCTGTATAGCTGCCAGGCTGCATTTCTCCACAAACAGAGATGAGGAGTAGATGTAGTTGAGCACAATCTCAAATGCGTCAGGCTCACAGAAGTCAAGCTGAACAATGGAGCGGTTCTCTGCGTCCCTTCTGGAGAACACAGACTGGAAATATTCACTGCATGCTGCAAGGACGCTTTTATGGGCCTGGTATTGTTGATCACCTACTAACAATACGACATCACAGAGCTGACCCTTCAACCGCTGCTCGTTGAGGACACCCAGCAGAGAAATACCATGGGAAGGGTTACAGTAGTGCCCCAGGCTCTCCATTTTGGCTTTGAAGGGGAGTGAAAGAAAATATTAATTTAGTGACATTGAAAAGTCATAACAACAGTGATTTCAATTAAGCTACAAAATTATCTTGGTAACATTTTACACAAATATTAATACGCTGACATGACTACAAATGATTTTTTTTTTTACATCATTTATTTATGTATTTGTATCTAAATTTATAAATGCACTGTTTGTGCATTGTGAATTCATGTTTGCTCATAATACATTCACTTATTTATACAACTTGAAATATTACAAATATATTCATATATGTAGAAAATGAACATTAATGTACATTTAAAAATACCCAATGCATTAAATAATGTTAAAATTAAATCTTATAAAAATGATTACCATCATCTTATAAAATGATATCTTAGATAGGCACAAAACATGTAAGCTGACATAACATTTGTCTCAAACAAATACACATTTCCATCAAATTTGTTTTCTTTAAAAAAAAAACACCATACAGTTATTGAAACATCTGAAATCAGATTAATATTTAGTATTTAGCCTTTGAATATTGTCTTGAATAATGAGGCACTCTGGACTGATTGGCAACCACTGCAATATAGTGTTAAAAAAACATAACATAACAACAATCTGACGAAGACGCCTGACTACAAACACTATTCATTTATTAATACATTTTAAAATAAAATGTATGTTATTTAGTAAGCTGTTAAATAATATGTCACTGTAGAATTACAATAAGCAAATAAATATCATAAAATACAGTAAGCGGGCCTACCCAGCGTCTACGCACGCGCACAACGACCGCTGATTACATCATGTCTAACGTTAGTTACAGTTGGTTTTACGCTGCTTAGAGTGACTATTCGCTCATTAAAACGAGGCGTGAGTATATTTATATTTCAACTGAAATGATTTCGCTGCATATTCCTTCCTCTTAATCTCGAGCTCCATTTCAAATAAAACCATTTGTTGATTCACCGTTGCCAAACTGTGACCATATCAGCAAACAAGTCACAAAATACAGGCAACCGGTTGCGTTTCTTCACGCTACTATTCACAAGATAGGAAATGAAACGATTAGAACACGCGTCTGCGCACACACAGCCTCTCCTGTCACCGACTGCGCAGACGTCGCATCCTGCACAACAGACTGAGAGCAGCCGTTTCTGTCAGGAAAGAGAGCGCGCGAGAAAATCTCCTCGGCGTTACGTCAGGAAAGGCTGATTTTACCCAAACAACATTCAACTACTTCAATTAGACGACGAAATAAAGTTGTTCAGGATTTCAACTCACCCTAGTTCGGTGGCTTTAGATGCCCCTGAGCTCCGACACTGGACTTTGTTTCAGAGTTGCGTTGAGCATGAAGCAGTCGTGATTCCATCCATCTTGTATTTGACGTCATCCCACTCTAGGGATGAGGTCATCGCTAAGAACGCTCGTCACGTGTGCTGCTCTCTGATTGGCTGCTGTATAAGCTGTGGGCGTTCACGGAGGAAATGAGTGGAGGATGACGGACTGATAAACAGTGGAGATGAGTTCGCACGTATGCACACACTTGTTAAAGAGATAGGAAGCTTTTTGTCATTAAGTATACAATCAGTACTTCTAAAGACAATGTTATTTTCCCCCTGGAAGTATTTATTATTTAATCCACTGTATTTAATAATAGGTTTACAAAAAAAAATGTATTTTTTTTTGCACACAGCGTATAGACAATGTGTTTTAACAATGTGATTTTTAAAATACATAATATTGGTGAATTGTATAACATTATTTTCATTTGAATAATGGAAACGATAACCATATTCATTCATTATCAAAATAGTTAGTTGTTGCTGCACTTAGAATTGTATTTTGCAATTTTAAGTTGCAGCATATCTAAATGATCACACTGCATAGTTCTTTTTAATTATGCTTAAATTTGCGTATATGATGTATTTCTGTGCTAAATTATGTATATGATGCATGCTAATTATCTGGGTTCTTTCCCCTCTGAAACTAATTAAAGTGACATGCTTAATAAGGTTTGTCACAGGTAGTCATGGGACTTTGTACTCATTATATCTTCCTAAGGGAAAGCTATATTGTGTTTACCTGTATAAAAGCCAGGTTAACTCATATCAAAGTGAAATTACACGAAGCAAGTTTCAACATTATCACTTTTTTTTTTTTGGACATGCCTTATATCCAGGGCTCCCATTGTCAAGAAAAAAACCTGGGGCTATCAGGATTTTTTATTTTTTACTTTAATTGTGATTAGTAGAGGTAGTTCAAATATCTTGGTATCTTAATATATATATATTTCTAGTAATGCCATGCAGAATTCATTCAATCAAAAGTGTTTAGTTCTATTAGTGAAGTGTGGCGTCTCATACTCAGAATTTGTGCTCTGCATTTAACCCATCCAAGTGCACACACACCCAGAGCAGTGGCGCACGGGGAGTAGTTGGGGTTCTGGTGACCTGCTCAAGGGTCTCACCTCAGTCGTGGTATTAAAGGTGGAGAGAGTGCTGGTTATTCACTCCACCCACCTACAATTCCTGCCAGACCTGAGACTCGAACCCATGACCTTTGGGTTACAAGTCTGACTCTCTATCCATTAGGCCACGACTAATGGATAGGATTAGTTCACCCAGGATTAGTTCACCAAAAAGGAAAATCTGCTGAAAATGTACTGGCCATCCAAGATGTAAGATGATTTTGTTTCTTCATCCGAACAGATTTGAAGAAATTTGGCATTACATCACTTGCTCACCAATGTATCCTCTGCAGTGAATGGGTGCCGTCAGAATGAAAGTCTAAACAGCTGATAAAATCTCTCTTTTTTTGCTTGTAAATGATGCTTGATCTAAGCCGATTTCTCTCCTGATTCAGACAAGATGACTTTTTCACTGGAATAAGCAATATTATGGACAGTGGGCTTTTAAAGTTAAAAATGTCTTAATGATGAGTTTATTACAAACATGCAGCTTTTCACTTCACAAGACTTCAGTTGATGAAGTTATTTATTCAGTTATTGTTTTTATCAGCTGTTTGGACTCTCATTCTGACGCCACCCATTCACTGCAGAGGATACATTGATGAGCAAGTGACGTAATCCTAAATTTCTCCAAATCTGTTCAGATGAAGAAAAAAACTCAAACTGGATGGCTTGAGGTTGAGTAAATTTTCAGCATATTTTTATTTCTTGGTGAACTATCCCTTTAATTCAAACAGATGCAAATGGACATTTGCCCAGAAGTCTCTGTAATTTAAATATCCAACTGGAAAACTCAAAAATGTTTGGAAACCCTCTTTATCACTTTTTTCTTTCCCTCAGTCTATTCTTTGACAAATAACTGGTTGAACTCTGATCCTCTCAGTGGTTTCTCAAGCACACGGTACATTATGCTCCCCTGCTCTCTGCATGAGGACACATTAGTCACTCAGTGAGCGCATAACACTGACATTCTTTAATTAGGCTATTTTTCACACCACATTAATTAGCTGCTAGATTTAACCAAATGCCAGGCTGGGTGCTGATAATCTGGTGTCCGTATGGGTGCGTGTCTGTGTATCTGTGTATTTATGGCTTGAAGTATGTTCTCAAAGACTGAACATTATGTGCAACTAAGCTGGTTCAGTCACAGTGCAATTTTCACCAGAAAGAAAATGTCTCGAAGCAAAAAACTTTGCCTATTGTGAGCTAAGAGGTTTACAAATGGGTCTGAAGGGTACTATGGTGACACTTAAAAACATCATTAAGGACTTTTCTCATCGTTATCTGAAATAAAACTTTATGGGGTCACTAAAATGTCTGGTAAGACACAACTTTCAAACACATTTAATCATTCTTTTTTATAATCAGCAGCATTTTACTGTAATTTTTATTCTCAAAACCCTCTCAAAATGAACTTTTATTTCCTCTACCAGTCTAACACCGACTAAAGGGTAAAGTGTCAAAATCTCATATTACACCATACAGTAGCTGAAAGTGAAATGCTTTTTAAAATGCCATTGATTTTCCACTGTTGTTACAGGAGTCTTTTGGTTTAGTAGCACCTGAGCAGATAAAATAAAACAGACTCAAGGGAGTCGATGGCGTCTGGAGAGAAAGGTGGGACAGGAGCAGGTGTCAGCAAGGGTTTGCTTCCAACAGTGTATGTGGAGCTCATAGAGTAACTTGTTCCATTCACAATGGCTTAGTATGATTTTTCAAAAAAAGAAGCAAGTATTTGGTAAATGAAAATGCATTGGGTTGTTGGTACCTGGTTAATCACATCTCTTCTTGGCCTTGGAACGGGGCACAACACTTTATTTGAAGGTAGGAAAAATCTGCTTATGTTTTCAAATTGTGCTTGATTTAAGTATCAAATTTATCTCAGATGGTTTTCCTACCATTTAAAATTAGACATATAGGAAGAGTATATCAAATGAATGTGGACAACTTGTTAGAAGTTTGATGAGAAATTCAAGTTCATATTGATATTTCATACTTTGGTATCTTGGCAAACCTGAGCAATAGTTTTTTCTTTGAAGCTCTTAAGGAGATTTTTGAAGTCTGAAGAAAAAATTGAATACCTATTTCTATTTCCACTCAGTTTAATCTCATTACTTTCTCTGAGATCATTAGTGATTTTTCTTTCCAGTGCTGTTATAAATCTATAAATATAAATATCTAATATAAAAGTCTATAAATATAAATCTCTTTTAAATGTTATATAATTTTATATGTGTAGTTTATTCACTACTGTTCAAAATTTGGGGGTTAATGAGATTTTTGTTTTTTTTTTGTTTTTAAGAAATAATTTTTTCAGCAAGGATACATTAAATTGATCAGAAATGACAGTATGAAATGACAGAAAATACATCTATGGTGGTTTAAAAGATTTCTGTTTCAAATACATTTTTATTACTCAAGGAATACTAAAAACATATCATGGTTTCCCAAAAATATATAAATAAGCAGTACAACTGTTTCCGACATTGATAATAATATGAAATGCTTCTTGAGCACCAAATCAGCATATTAGAAGGATTTCTGAAGGATCATGTGACACTGAAGACTGGAGTAATGTTGCTGAAAATTCAGCTTTGCCATCATAGGAATAAAGTACATTTTAAAATATATTCAAATAGAAAACAGTTGTAATTGCATTGCAATAATAATAATACTTGCACCATATTACTGTTTTTACTATTCGATCAAATAAATTCAGCCTTGGTGAGCATAAGAGAGTTCTTCAAAAAACATACACTTTAGAACTTTAGAATGGTATATTTTGGTACCATTTGTCGTGGAGCAAACTATAAGATGATTGAATTTGTCTATTTCCGACAATTTTTGATTTGTTTAAATTTTCAGGATATGACCGGACTCTGTCAGGTTATCATCTGTGTAATATGACTGAGTCTGTGTCAGAGGTGGTCTCCTCTGTGGTCTCCTATCCAACCTCGTACACCCAGAGGAAACCGTGTGGTGGCTGGCTGCCATGGACAATGTGTGATGTCACCGTTTATAAGACAGAATACCGAACACAGGTGTATGACAAGCCCAAACAGGTCATGAAATGTTGCCATGGCTATGAACAAGTTGGGAGTTACTGTGCCTTGTGTGAGTACTTTCAAACAAATTCATATGAAATAGAATTGTCCCTGGAAAGTAGGATGCTGCAGATTGTCTTAATCTACATGAAAATTGACATCATTGTTGACCACTGTTAAGACTTTAATCTTTTTTATTGATATTGTCATTATCTCAGCCTTGAACAGAAGTGCAGAATTCACATCCAAGCCAGGACTGTGTCCCCCAACAAGAGCGACAGGGTCTCTGTGTAATAATTCAAACTCCTCTGGCTCTGTGTGCAACTGGGACATTGATTGTCCTCAGTGGCAAAAATGCTGCCTGATCGAAAACACCTCCCCCAACTCTCAGTGCTCAGACCCAGTACCATCAGGTATACACAAACCCATACTGAATTCTCATAGGCAGGCACATTGTTAAATAACATACAATGAGTTTAAAAAGCCAATTTTTCCTCAAGTCAACAGAACCTGGTGCTTCAATGTGACAATAACAGTTAAGACAACCTATGAGCTAGTTACCATGAACAAAGGACTCTTCAACCACACCAGACTGCTGCACTCTGTGGTTTGTAATCATCGGTTTATCATTCACCTATGACATTATGTGCTTTATAAACTTTAAGATGCCAAATATGCTGTCCAGTTAGCTCACTAAGTGAAACACAGCCCATATATGTTGTATATCTGCAGTGGGTATGTTCTGCAGTGATGTAACTGTTGGGTCTTTCTGTAGGTAACTGGCGCTCTGGGAATTGATCAAATTTCTGTGCATCATGTCTGGTCAAAATCAGCAGGGCCCTTCACAACTTCTTCCTCACTGCTGGTTTGTTCTTCTAAAGTTATCTTACTAGAAGACATCTCTACAAAACTGTATCTGCTGGGAATCATTGAGGAGGTGACTAATTTGGTGGTGCAAGGTATGTCTGATTTCTGTAATTGTGAAACGAAAGCATTTCATATGATTCAGTTTGCCAAG